TAACTTCTTCTTTTTTATAAAGATCTTTTATAGTATTGTTGTGTAAACGAACAAAAGAAATCAAACACTTGGTTACTTTAAGGGTTTTTTTTCTACGATTTCCTCATTTGATATGTGTCGACTATTTCGTATATATAAAAATTGAGTCTGTTATCTGCACGACTCTTCTCGGGCCTATCACAGACGCAGCCTTCTCATTCGATTTGTATATAATCAAATATTAACATATTCATGTTTTCAACGATCCAGACAAAACTTTCAACTATATAAAAATAGCTCGAGTCGTCTAATATTTTGGAGTTTTTCTCCTCCAACTACAACACCAACCTCTCTCCTCCTCCTTTCACATATTTAATCCTCTGTTTCTTGCTTGGCCAAAACAAGATCAAGAAATCAGATAATTCCCCTAAACACCGGAGCCGCCATGGACGACGGAGCAGGAGCAACTGACGTGGCTGGCTCAAGGAAGAGAGAAAGACAATACAAAGGGATAAGGATGAGGAAATGGGGAAAATGGGTGGCTGAGATTCGAGAACCCAACAAGCGTACGAGGCTTTGGCTCGGCTCTTACTCTACTCCCGAAGCGGCTGCTCGTGCTTACGACACGGCGGTTTTCTACCTCAGAGGACCCACCGCTACGCTTAACTTCCCGGAGCTCCTGCCGTGTACCGAGAAATTCGCCGCCATGAACATGTCGGCGGCAATGATTAGGAAAAAGGCGACGGAGGTCGGAGCTCAGGTGGACGCGATTGGGACGGCCGTGAGGAATACCAAACGCCGCCGTATAATTAGTCAAGAGGGAAGTTATGGCGGCGGGTTATTGGAGCGGGTTGACTTGAATAAGTTACCCGACCCGGAGAATCCGGATAATGATTTGGTGGGAAAATAGAAAGTATGCCGGTGGTTGTGTCTTTTATGATAGACGTTCGTTTTTACGAAAGTTCCCTTGTTTTGTCACTCTTAGGTTCCGATCCGAATGATGATGTTGCAAAAACAAGAAAAGATCTGCAAGACAAACTATGTAAATGTTTTTGATTTAGTAACCTATTATGGTTTTTCTTGTTAGTTTCTATCAATCATTCAATTGTATGATTGATAAACAGTAGAATATCAGTTCAATGAATGTGTAATCTTTACATCACAATCACATCAAGCTAGTCTATTTAGCAGTTTATTAAGAAGAAAGTCTTCAAGTTTACGTCCTTTTTTTTTTTTTTTAAACTTTCCGGTTTATGTTGAGCCGACATTGCTTACTTGGGTTATTAAATGTTGTTAGGAGCCGACATTGCCTACTTGAGTTTGGCCGAAATGATGGAATATGACTTGTGGCATAATTAATTACTTTTGTCTTATCTCTTAATTAAGGTCCATACTTAAAGTGAGTGGCCAAATATTTAGTAATCTCTGATTAAGGCCCATAAAGACATTATCCGATTAAGTGGTCACCAAGTGTGTTTCCTAGTATTGATTGGAAACAATGACAAAATGATAATGACAATGACATAATCATTTTTGTTTTTTTGGAAGATTAGCTAAAATAACCTATTTTTTTTTTAAAGTAGCTAGAATAATCTTACTATTTTTTTATTGCTAAAATAATCTATTCTAGATATTTTTTTCTTTCATAACACCAAAATTGTCCTTCGCAAACTCTACCGAGATATTGGCAGGCTCTGTCGAAATATTGGCAGAATCTACCGATGTATTGGCAGACTCTGCCAATATCTAAAAATACGCAGACTCTGCCAAAACATTGACAGACTCTGCCGAAACATTGGCAGACTCCGCCGAGGTATTGACAGACTCTGCCGAGGTATTGGCAGACTCTGCCGAATCATTGGCAAATTCTGCGGAAACATTGGTAGACTCTACCGATGTATTGGCAGATTCTGGCAAGGACAATTTTGGTATTATGAAAGAAAAAAAATTCAGAATAGGTTATTTCAACAATAAAAAAAATGGTAAGATTATTTTAGCTATTTTTTTAAAAAAGTAGGTTATTCTAGGTAAATTTTTTTTGTTTTTTCTGTTACGGGTGTCACTGTGTCGAAAGACAACAGTAAGTCAGTGATTAAATGATAAGTAATACATTTTGTTTGTATTACTGTCGCTAACAATGACAAAATGATACGTAATACTTTTTTTATATATTTAGCAACCAGAGTCTCGGGGAAGGAAGGCAAACATAAACCAAAATGATATGTAATACATCTTTTAAAATTTTGGTCCCCAAAACTTTTATAAACTCATCTATTCCGAAGTACATGTTTGATTGGCTTGTACCCAAGGCTGGTTCTGCTTGTGGTCTTTCATACGAAACGTATTATTCCGGCTGATTTTTTTGTTAATTTACGTTGGGTCTCACTTGTTTATAAGCAATAAAGTGGTGGGTGAGAGGTGGAGTGCTCGATCACTCGTTCCCTAACTTAATTTGTAATCAGGATCAGTAGCTAACACCTAGAGCTTTCAAGAAGTGTGACACGCTGACAACAACAGCAGCTAGGTTTTTGGAATATCAGAAAATTTGGAATGAGTGAATTTCTTTAAAAATAATTATGTTCACTAACCTCATATTCCAACTATAACCACAACAAGTAAAGTATGATAATACAAGCTAGACACTCTCATATATACCTATGTTTCTTGGGAAATGAAGTGAAGACGTTCTTTAGTATGTTTCAAAGCTCCACGTACCACACAAGTCTTGTACTACCCAATCAAACTTGAAAGGTAAAGTGTAACCACTACACTGTAGACAACAAAATTGACACAAAAGTCAGATAGTTAAAACAACATTGGTCAGCAATGATAACTGTAAAACTTTTAACACTTTGTCAATTAGACATACTATTCGATTAGCGAGATAACCAAACACTGACATAGGACGGACCAGGCGATACATTGTAGTTACCTATAATTTAAGAGGTGTAAATAGGAGATTGAACCTCATTTACAACAAATTCAAAACACTATTACAAAAAGACCAACTTGAGCCTCTTACCCCACGACCAACACAGTAGTTAAGCCTCCTAGACGAGGTGATGTAGATAAAACAATCCCTTGTAAGTAGAATCAAAAGAAATATAGATTTATGCTCTTGTAGAGCTTATTGAGATAGAAGAATTTATTGCGACAGAGACTAATACATAAATACAAG